AGTCAATGAACTGGATGAGGACAGTCTATCATGCAAAATGCTAAAAATATGTAAATAAATTAATGCATGGAAAGAACTGATTACATAGTTCCTTATGAGTAAAATAAATCCTCAATCATAGCAGATTAAGTGAATAAAGCAGATTAATAATTTTCTCACACACACAAAAAGTAATTTATTAAGTAAATAAGTCTCTCACGATGTCTGGAGGGAGACTGATGCTGTCATTGGTTCTGCAGGTTGATAATCAGGGTCAACATCTCTGTGGATAAGGGGTTGGTACTGCTCGAGTTGGTCCCATTCTAGGTATTTTAAGTAGAGGGTATTTAATAAAGGGAATTGGCTATGTAAACACTGGAAGAGCAGAGAACCAAGTGAAGATAGTGAGACCTTCCAGATATTAACGGCAGCAGAAAAGACCAGGTGGATAAAAGGAATAACTGAGGTGTATTATATATAGATTCATTGAGGTCTCCAGCAGACTTCCACTCAGATCCTACATTGTTCTCCTGCTCACAAGTGTTCCCTGTGTTAGACTGCTTCACTTCCCCCTAGTCCTGACAGTTCTTCCTAGATTACCCCTTAGTAAATAATTTGCTTTCACATTCTTGTCTCAGCTTCTGCTTCTGGGAGAACTCATGAAGACCCACCAACTGACTGTTTCAGGGACAAGTTGCTGAAAATCATCCATTGTGGAAGCAGAACTCATGTATTTTATTGAAATATTTTTTGAAAACATTCATGGATTGATCCACTTCTTCACTTTAGGAACCAACTCTTTGTCACTTGCCTTTCCTCCTCCCCCTCCTTGCTATTAAAAAGACATGGTGAGCTTGCAAATGCAGATGCATATAAAATGATCTGAATATATATATATATGTGTGTGTGTGTGTGTGTGTGTTTGTGTGTGTGTGACGACCTAAATTTGTTTCTCCTCCTAAGCAGGATCACAATTTTACATTCTTTACATTCTTGCTTCAAGATTTGTGAAGGAAGAGCTTGCAGGAATTTCTCTGATATGCATTGTCCTTAAGAATTACTTATATACACACATCCCATCTTGTAACTCTCACTAAACAGACCATCAGCTGCAATACAACCTCTTCCCTGTCTCTTACTTCTGGCATCTTCTTCTCCCTATTATGCTGTCTGGATTAGAGATGTTTCATCTGTTTATCACCTACTGTTTACCTCATCATGATAACAATGGGTCATATTTGCTCACTTGATAATGAGCATATATAGTACTTGCATTTATATATATAAATACATAGTACTCATATTATTTAATATATAGTACTTATATTATTTAATTTTGATTTTGATTTTCAAAATAGGTTTTAAAGTAAATAGATTTACCATTTTATGGATGGAGAAACTGAGTCTCAGTTGAGCATTAAATGCCAAGCACAAAGTGATTTAGCCATTTGGGACAGAGCCTGGACTGGAGCCCGAGTGTCCTGTTTCCAACCTCAGAGCAATTTCCACATTTCCACATAGAACATCTCATAGTTAGCAGGTGACATTTAAGTAGAATGTCAAGAAGGGAAAGGTCTGGGGCTGGGTACCTGGGTTCAAATACTACCTCTAACCTCAATTTCTCTGTATTAAGTAACTTTGTTACTCTCAGTTGCACTTTCTCTTATTAAAATGAGATCATACGACTGGGTGCGGTGACTCATGCCTATAATCCTAGTACTTAGGAAGGCTGAGGTGAGAAGGTTGCTTGAGGCCAGGAGTTCAAGGTTGCTGTGAGATGTGATTGTGTCACTGCTTTCTAGCCTGGGTGACAGAGTGAGACCCTGTCTCAAAAAAATAAGATAAAATAAATAAAATTAGACCATAGTAGTACTTTTCTTATAAGGTTAATGTGAGGATTTAATGGGATACAATATGCAAAATACTTACTAAAATCATAGCCAATCATATACCTGAATCAAAGACCTTCCTTAACAAAATATGCCTTACACTGTGAAGGGTGTATATGTGTATGTGCTCGTGTGTGTGTAAGAGGAATGATTACAGGCTATCCAATAAAGATATTTTCTACTTAGAAAAGTTGAAACCTTCTGTTATTCTTTACCTTAAATCTGAGCAATTCCAATTATTACACTAATAAGTTTCTTACCAGTAGGCTGACTGCTTCAGTAGAACTGATTTTGGTTTAAAGATATTGGCTAGAAAAAGTAAAACAAACAAACAAACAACAACAAAAAAAAAACTGAGCAATTTTTTAAAAAGAAGTTTAAAAAATTGTGGTAGATTACCTATGACATAAAATTCGCCACCTTAGCCATTGTTAAGTGTACAGTTCGGGAGTGTTGATTACATTCATCTTGCTGTACGACTATCATCACCATCCATCTTCAGAACTTCCTCATGTTGCAAAACTGAAACTTTATTCTCAATAAATAATAGCCCCACATTCTTCCCTCCACCAGCCCCTGCCAGTCATAGTTCTATTTTTATCTCCATTAATTTGACTATTCTAGGTACTTCGTATAAATGGAATTATATAATATTTATGCTTTTGTGACTGGCTTATTTCACTAGTGTAATATCCTTAAGGTTCTTTCATGTTGTAGCACGTGTCAAAATTTCCCTCCTTTTAAGAGCTGAATGGTATTTCATTCCACCATATACACTATATTTTGTTTATCCATTCATCCATTGATGGATACTTGGGATGCTTCTGCCTTTGGCAGTTGTGAATAATGCCGCTCTGAACATGGCTGTATAAGGAATTGTACAATTCTTATTCAAAGCAACCTTCTTTAGAAGTGGAGAAAGTAGAAAAGTTTATGAAGAAAATAGTTTAGTGCAGTTACGCTACATTGGAATTAATTGAGTCTGGTTAGCTTATGAAGACATAAACAGAGATACCAAATTGTTTCCTTAGGAGAGCTCAGACTTGAAAACAGAAAACTGAAAATTATCAACAAAGAGAAAATTTCTAAAATCTTAAAGGAAATGATTTTCATTATGGTAGAGATGGGATGTAACATCATCACTGAGGTGAGGAGGGTGTATTGAATTTTCAAGACTCATCCTTAAGACAAAGTACAGAAATTTAAGCTCAACAGAGGAATATAGGTAAGTCAGAGAGAGAAAGCACATGGCTTGAAGAAAATTTCAAGAACTGATATTTTATGAAGATAGTCTATAAAAGAGCTGAATTGGTAGAATACAAAGGGCCATTCAAAAAAAGGATATAATGCAGTTTCCAGTAATGGAATGAAAATACAGCTATTTGAAAACTGAGGTCAGAGGAAATCTGCAGTAGGAGAGATGGAGAAATCATTCAGAAGGCATTTATTTACTTTTTAAACAAACAAGGTTGGGCACTCTTGTTGTATTTTCCAAAGATGGTCACAACAATATCTCCAGTAACCCATGTGCTTCTAAAATCCTGCCACACGAACATCACGAACTAAAGTCGAATTCCCCCGTCTTTGAATCTAGGTAGGCTTGTGACTCACTTGTAACTTGAGATTGCAGTGAAAATTATGGTGTGTGACTTCCAAGGCCAGGTCACTAAAGGCTTCATAGCATCTACTTTGCTGCTAAAATGCTTGGTCTCAAAGCCTTCAGCAGTCATGTAGATAGTCCTCCTGCTGTCAGGTGGCCATGCTGTAAGGAAGCTCAACTAGTCACATGAAGAGGGACCACACTGAAAGACCTGGAGACTATGCAACAGAGAAGATGTTCAGAAAATCCCTGTTATATCTCTAGCAGTTGCATTAGAGACCCTGAGGCAGAACCACTGAGACTATGGGTCAAAAATTAGGCCTTTTCTAGTTCCTAACCCATAGGAATTGTTCAAGACAATAAGACGATTGCTGTTGTTAAAACTACTACATTATGGTATTTGTCACACAGCCTTGGGTAACCAGAGCACTATTTATGGGCCAGGCACTGTTTTAGGTACTGAAGTACAGTGCTTTGAAAACAGAACTGTCCTTGTTTTTATAACGTTTACAGACGGGTTGGAAAATGAGAATATTTGGACAAACATTAGCCAAAGAGACAGGATGGCACGATCAAGAATAACGATAGAGAAAAATACCAATGACCAGGGGTAGCTGCAACTTTCCTGACATTTGAGGGTGAATGATACAGGGAATTACCTTATATGCCAGATGAGCACTGTTCCTTTCCCACTTCCTTGCTGCTGGACAGGAAAGGAACTGGGGAATGGAAAATGCCAGGCAGCAGTAAGAGGGAAAGAAGGAAACTTTAATGGCTCCCTGGGGACAAGTGTAACCTGAATGATGCAGAGGTATTTTTCACCAGTTTCTGGAGATGAGCTAAATGCTGTTACAATAATCCCCCTTTTGGGGGCACTCAGGGGTCACGCTTCCTCCCAGGTACTTATTGTTAAGCAGTGGGCAGAACCATCCCTGGCTGTGGGTGCTTTGTGGCCAGAACAAAGGGCAAAACAAGAGTTTAACACCCCAGGCATAATTTATAGCATTTTAATTCTCCTACTTGTCTCCGCTTAAGAATTTCTTATAGCATTATTTAATGATGTGAATTCAATGGGCAATTTAAAAACCTACTTAATTTACTATTTCTTTCCTCAGTGATGCAGCAAGAAGTGGTGCACACTGTACTGCAGAGGTAGCAGCCTGAGTGTGATGCGGAGAAAAATCATCCTACACCAATTAATACTTAAGCAGGTTCCAACTTTCTCTCCCAGGACCCCAATAGCCATGACAGAATGCTAGGAAGTTTCACAGATCAAAGGAAGAGTGAATCACGTTAAAAGAACAGCATCAGACACATCTTATGACTACTCTTGGAATGCCCCCCATGTCTTTAGATGTCCTACAATATGAAGGGAATGAGTTTTACAGGGCAAATGCAATACACACAAAGGAGCAAGGGATGTAATCTTAAATTGAGTCAGTAGTCTGGAAAGAAAGACATGAAGAATATGCCCAGTAGCATTGGAGAAACTTGTTACTGTAATAAGCTCAGGAATCACATGTACAGATCTCTGACATTAGTGAATATATATTAGTAAATTAAGATGGCTATGAATATTCACGATTCTTCTGAATGGATCAACCACAATGACTGACAATAGGCAAAGGATAGAGGGGATGGAAATGAGGGATCGAACAAGCAGGTACCACGAGTCCTATGCTAGCAGATAGTCTGATTCACTCTTACCAACTCTGCTCCCGAGACGTTTCTCGATCAGAGCAGTGGCAAAGCTGATAGGTAGCAAGAAGGAGTCTCACCCACAGGTTAAATATTCCACTCTTCCCAGGCAAGCTAGAGCAGCTCATCATGTCTTATGGAAAATCAATTTCAGAGCATTTGTTCTTGGCATCTGGCAAACCAGTAGGTCACAGTTTCAAATCCAGGATCATAATAACCTCACCTGGGAGAGACTTCAGATGACCTCTGCACAGTCTCATACAAAATGAAGCTTCAGTCTCAGCTCCGTTCTTAATAGAGAAATGTCTGCATCACTCTACTGATGCCAGCAGTTAACAGAAGGAAAAGCTACCAGGTCTCCCCTCCTCATCTTGATATATGGAGCTGGTGAGAATGTGTCTGGTCATACGGATGGAAAGCTGCAGACATCAAAATCATCAACAGAGCCCTTTCACAAGCATAAAATTCAAACTGGAGAGAGATTGGAGAGAGAAAGAGGTTCAAATTAGTATCCAAACATGCCTGTTTCCTAATGCTCATTCAGACAGAGGTTCACTGGCTGGAAATTATTGAAATGAGGCAGATGTCAAGGGGATGCTGCAGATACAGCTACTTCCCAGCACCAGTGATTGTGTGCCTACAGTCGCAGGATCCTGGTTCCACCTCCACATTGGGAAGAGTCCTTAAGTACCTGCTGGTGCAACTTTCCTCTCTGTTGTCGAGTTGAACAAACTTAGGGAGTTTTAAGCTTTGGGACTTACTGAGGCTAAATTGAAGCAGCATTTTCCCCATCATTAGATTCAGGAGAGTCTCCTGTTCTTCTCCCCCAGATCCCAACAGGGATGTACTTTCAGAATTAATTCACTTTCTCACTCCTGTCATCTCCTCACTCTGCTCCTCCATTTACCCTGATGGGGTGCCATCCACATTGCGCTAGAAGGGAAGCCATCTTGAAATATTCAGTTTCCTTCCTTCCTTTTTTCTTTCCTTCTTTCTTTCTTTCTTTCTTTCTTTCTTTCTTTCTTTCTTTCTTTCTTTCTTTCTTTCTTTCTTTCTTTTTCTTTCCTCCTTTCTCTTTCTTCTTTCTTTCTGTTTCTTTCTTTCTCTGTCTCTCTTGATCTTTCTCTCCTTCTTCTTTCTTTTTCTTTCTTTCTCTCCTTCCTTCCTTCCTTCTCCCTCCCTCCCTCTCTCTTTTTCTTTCTTTCTTTCTTTCTTTCTTTCTTTCTTTCTTTCTTTCTTTTTCTTTCTTTCTCTTTCTTCTTTCTATCTTTCTGTTTCTTTCTCTGTCTCTCTTGATCTTTCTCTCTTTCTTCTCTTTCTTTTTCTTTCTTTCTCTCCTTCCTTCCTTCCCTCCCTCCCTCCCTGTTTCCTTTCTCCCTTGCCTCTGTTTTCTTCCTTCCTTCCCTCCCTCCCTCCTTCCTTCCTTCCTTCCTTCCTTCCTTCCTTCCTTCCTTCCTTCCTTCCTCCCTTCCCTTCCCTTCCCTTCCCCTTCCTTCCTTCCTTCCTTCCTTCCTTCCTCCCTTCCCTTCCCTTCCCTTCCCTTCCCCTTCCTTCCTTCCTTCCTTCCTTCCTTCCTTCCTTCTTCCTTCTTTCTTTCTTTCTTTCTTTCTTTCTTTCTTTCTTTCTTTCTTTCTTTCTTTCTTTCTTTCTTTCTTTCTTTCTTTCTTTCTTTCTTTCTTTCTTTCAACAGAGTACCATGAGGGTTGTTTTTCATTTTGTCAAACCTACAAATGTAAACCATCTAATAACTAAGGAAATATTCAGGCTTACGTTAGTTTTTTTGTTACTATTATTCCATTTGAAAGGCCCAAGGCCTGGTTCAGTGACTCATGCCCTAATTTCAGCAATTTGAGAGGCCAAGGTGGGAGGATCTCTGGGAGTCAGCGGTTTGAGATCAGCCTGGGAGGGCGTGAGACCCTATCTCTCTCTAAAAAAAGGTTTCCCAAAGCCAGGCATTCTTGGCTCTGAAAGAGATGGGAAATCAGGGAAGGAGGTATGTACATGCTTTTTAAAACATCTGTAACCACAAAGATACAAAGATGCATTGCAATGTTTTGGTGGGGTTTTTTTTGTATAAATTTAAGGGATACAAAAGCAATTTTGTTACAAGAGTATATTGTATGGTGATGAAGTCTGAGTTTTTAGTGTATTAATCACCCAAATAATGTATATTATACTCAATAAGTCATTCCTCATCGTCTGCCCCCTGCACTCCCTCTCTTCCAGGTCTCCCATGTCTATCATTCTACTCTCTGCAGCCATAGTCCCTGGGTACCCACGTAGGTGAAGGAGCTCAGAAATATCTTCTATTTTGGGTGGGTTGAGGAAACCATCCAGAGGTGGTTTATAATAATAAATAATAAAACTAGGTTTTATTATTATAAAACTAGGTTAAATAATAAAACTAGGTTTTTCTTGAGTGGAAAATGTCTTTATATATAGCCAGGATGTATGACTAGACACTGCTAAAAGTTGATGAAGGAGCTCTTTGTGTGCTAAAATGCTGCTGAGAAACCCCAGGCATTTCCATATCTCAATGCTGCGCTCTAAGCAAGGGCCGTGTGGCACCCAGAGGGAGGCAGGCTGTCACTCACCTGCTTCGCCAGCATCCAGAGTCCGAAGAGGAGGACTGGTCGGGTCATCCGAAAGGTCTTCCTTCCAAAGAATGCAGGCTCCTCACAAACACCACCCAAATCACTGATGTGGAGAAAGTGTACTTATTGTTTTATGTTAAATATTGAAATTAAGTTCAATATTGAAAATATGAAAGAGAAAAAAAGTGTGCAATTCAGCATCTGACTTTACTTCCCTTTAGAGCAAGATCATAAAATAAAATTTTTTTTTTTATAAAAGCACTTTCTTAGGCCGGGCATGGTGGCTCAAGCCTGTAATCCCAGCACTTTGGGAGGCCGAGACAGGCGGATCACAAGGTCAGGAGATCGAGACCATTCTGGCTAACCCGGTGAAACCCCGTCTCTACTAAAAATACAAAAAACTAGCCTGGCGAGGTGGCGGGCATCTGTAGTCCCAGCTACTCGGGAGGCTGAGGCAGGAGAATGGCGTGAACCCGGGAGATGGAGCTTGTAGTGAGCTGAGATCTGGCCACTGCACTCCAGCCTGGGTGACAGAGCGAGACTCCGTCCCCCCCCCAAAAAAAAGCACTTTCTTAAAACTTACATTAGCCTTCACTCCATAGAAGAATATGACTTACAATACATAGGTTTTCTTCCCTCCTCTTCCACCATACCACCAAAGAAAAAGGGGGGAAAATAATCTGTCAGATATTATTTTACATATGCTTCAAGAGTTCAGATATTCCTAAATGTAAAACTTTTCAGTGCAATATAAAACATCTTCAAGTAAAAGATATAAATATGCTTTTTGATTTCACAAAAGAAACACTTCATAATTTACAATATCCATTCTTGAGGAAAGAACACCTTCAGTACTCATGAATTATTGCTTTCTTCTACATGGTTAAATATTCACTGTCTGTCTATCTGGTTCATATTTTTTCTGTTTATTTTTAGCACTCTCAGAAGTCAAGAATATATTTGAAACTCAAAGCACAAGGAATTTTATGATACATTGTGGTAAACTGGCAAAACTCAGATTGATACGTTAAACATCTTCTACAAACCAATGCAAGAAGTTGGGTTGGTTACGTCCCAGTGATGTCTAAGGCTCCATGGATAATCTACCAGAATCGCATCACTTAAAAATAATTATATCAATTAAACTTCCTTGAGGGAAATATGCTTAGAATTTTTAAATCCTATAATCTGTTAAGATTTAAGTATGTGAAGTGTTTTTATCACCACTAAGCTAAATTACCTATATATTCAAAATTGTATTCAATTGCAAATAATCCCTAAACAATGGTTAGAAAGACAATACAGTATTTCTAGAAGCTTGTCTAGACATTATATAAAAATGCTTGAATTGTAAACTTCATAGGTAACTTACACACTATATATCATCATTATAAATTTATATGCTTCATTAATTCTTCTCGGATTTGGTTGTATACATTTCAGGTATAGAAAAACCAAAATAGGGACAAAGACTCTCAGAAAAAGCTTGGTTATGAAACAGATTGGAATTTGGGTTTTAGTCATCAAAGATGTGATAAACAGCACTGGGTATTAATGCAGAAAACAGACTGAGCTTTTTAATGGGACATCAAATAAGACTTTATTAGCATCTATTAGGTTCAACCCAAAGCTGAGGAAATAGCATTAATGAGCATCATATATCAGTCTGTCTGTTATTAGATAACAGTATCCCTTAAAACTAGCAAGCCATATAGTACTTTATACTTTTTTACCTTTATCTTTAGAATTAGCTGACATTCTATTGTGTTACACTGGCCTTACTATTAGTAATAGTGAACCAATTTATAAACCCATTAGTGACACTTTTTCCAGAAGATAAAAACAGTCAAAATTATCTGGCAGCAATTAATCTTAATGGCTGTATGCAGTAAACAGCAATGGGCTAATTCCAGCTCTGTCAGCCCCATCAAACAATCCCGCATTAGGCAGCTTTTCAGTGATCCATTAAGCATATTCAGAACAACAACAAATTCAATGCTGAAGGCATATGCACTAAACATTACAACAGTGATCTTCTGAAGCCATCATTATCTCTTAAATAGTACTTCCCCCATGTATTATCATTATGCTGTACATTAGAAATACTTTGATTAAACTCCCTTAATTCATAACAGACAGCTGCAGACCATTTATGCAGTTAATCTCAACACAACAGCTATTGAGGAAATATAACAAATGAAGGCTGTAAACTGGAAGTCATTACTATGAAAGATACTGGTTTTCTAGCCCTCTTAGAGCAGAGTGCATCATAAGGGTGGGTTTTGGGCCTACAATAATGGGGATGAAACCGTTAACGACCTTCCACTTTCCTGTCACATCTGTCCCTGGGGTTGTTGTGCTCTAGGCTGGGCATGTGACCAGTTTAGGCTGAGCCATGTGTCCCACACATTGACCAATGTAAGGGCTCCAGGAGAACCCAAACTATGGTTAACTTCTATTTTCTGGCTTTGGTATTAAGAAGTCAAGGTTTTGATGGAATAGGAATAATCTCATTGATTTCACTGAATCGTTACAGTAAAGCGCTGAAAAACTATTCTGATTGTACACTAATGATATCATCATTAGCAGTAGTTTTACATTTCTTTTCTAAAAAGTGGTGCCTTTTAAAGTTTAATTCATAATACTTGAGTTTACAAACGTAAAAAAAAATTTCTACTGAATTTCTTCTGTAAACTTTCTTTCCCATGTGATATCTTCACTTATCAATTCAGAAAAGTTATGCATGCCAAAAGAAAAACCTCCTAAATTCAAGGAGCCACACCCCAATTTTATGTTTTGTGGAATAAAATATGCACTGGCTTAATCTGAAGAACAAGAGAACTGTGTCGATTTCTCCACACTACATCTTCACAGAATCTTTCCTTTTTGCAGGTAGAGAGACCATAAACACGGGCATGAATGAGCTCTATGTGCCTGGCATTTATTTTTTTCTTTATATAGGGTTTATTTCAAAGTCCTAAACCACAGACACCGTGTCTACTTTTTGATGAAACGTTCAGGTAATTAGAACATAAATTTAGAGTCCCCTTGCCAACTCCGACAGTACTTTCAGCTTTTGGGGTTAGCATAAATGAATTAAATATTGATTCAAAATATAAAGTACTGTCATTATAAAGCAATAAGGGTCTAGCCTTCAGAGGGAAAGACCAATCGCCATAGCAGTTTACGTTGAATGTCTGAGGAGATTTCCACAATCGGGGCTAGATTGACCCATCCCTCCAAGGTGCCCATGAACACAAGCATATTAACGTTTGCTGTTCAGTCCCCTTAGTCACCTTTGGTGCTGTAGAGATCCCTCCCTACTGTCCCCCAGCCGCCCTCCCACTTCTCGAACATAGTGCTTTGAAAAATGGCAGCTCTGGGGAGCTTTTCTTAATTTTTTTCCCCATACATTTGTTTGGAAGGCATAGGTATTATGACTGCTGGCTGTATGTATCCCTTGTTTCAGAACTTGCATTTATAACAAAGCTCTGGCGAATCCCTTCTGGACACCTGGGCATGCTGATACTGATTTCTGGCCCATAGTGCAGTTTAAACCAATCAGGATTTTCACCTATTTTGAAAGACCTTCCCAATCTGAGCCTAACCTTCCTGCCATGTGAGTTATAAAGCACTACTACTAGTTGTTGAGGCACAAAGAAGTCTGAGAAATAATGTCACTCCTCAGAAATTCACAATGCATGTCAGTATAGTAAAACCTGTGAGAAGTTCTAGAGAAAGGAAACCTGTTTAACTGTGATTTTCGGCGTGCCCAAATCTACTTGGCTGAGTTTTTTTTTTTTCTTTTTAATAGAACAACTGTTAATATCTTGTAGGGCACTAATCTTTTAAAGAATATATTTTGAGACATGTTTTTCTAAATTCCTGCTTGTGGTATTTATGCCTCAAAATTGATCTGTGGCAGGAAAGAACAAATTTGCAAATTAATTAATTGTGCTTTCTTCTGATTTTTGTTTGTTAGCTTTAATTTCGCTTACAGATACTCCACTGTTGAAAGTGGCCATCAGCAAATGAAATTAGGTTTAGAATTCACAAGCTGGTTTGACTTCTATTTTTGCCATTTATTCCAATAATCTAAATTCAGTAAACAGTGTTCCTATAGACATTTTTCTGATTGAGACATAAGGTTTTCTTCAACTAATGATTAGATTTTTGTAACTGATGTTAAACATGTGGATAATTGATGAATGTGCTCATTTTTCCTGCTGTGGAACATTATCTTTAGCTACAACACAACGATATTTAGAGTTCTATCACATTTAGAGTTCTATCTAGATATATTTACATCTATCTATATCTGTTCTCTATTCAGGAAACTCCCAATTATGAGTAAGTAACTTCTATATGCTCATTTGAAGTTCGTTGCTTGGGATCTCAGATTACATTTTTCCAAAGGAATTTATTACAACTTGTCATTACAGTCTAGATTTAACCTATGAAAGTCTGTTTAATACACAGCAACTGCATTGCTGAAATGCTAGGTACACTAAGGAAATAAGCCAAATGTCAGCATGGTTGCCATGCTGATAAGTTAAACCAAGTAGAAAAATAATAAGGTGATAAAATTGACTAACAGATCCTTTAAAAAGTTTGGTCTAAAATGCTGATGCTTGTAGAAACATAGGTTTAATTTTAAAAGATGCAACACAGACCAAGACTTGTGTGTACGTGTGCGCATGTGTGTCTATGTGTAGCTTTGGCAATATTTCCAGGGACCCTTCCAAACTCATGTCGTCCTTACCATAGCCTTCCATGATACAGACGCATCACAGCAGGTCTCATTCCAGGAGAAAGGGGTGAGACTCCTCTGTGGCGTATACGTGAAACGAAGACAGAGAATAGGAAAAGATTGTTCTCTACAAAATCTAGGCAGGAGCTGGCATCATGAAGGAGAGGAGAAAGTCATTCTAAGTATGTGTGTGTGTGTGAGAGAGAGAGAGAGAGTGAGCAAGAACAGGGAGGAGGGGAAGAGAGAGAAAAGGGCAGGAAAAGAGCAAACACCTTGGATGGACTTAGGTGAAGTGCGAGTAGTGAAACAAAGAAAACCTTGGGGTCCTCTGCACCTGTGAAGTAGTTTTCTGA